TGGAACCTGTCGACGACAGAGCTCACAGCATCGCCGAAACGGCCCGAAGAGACTAGCGAGGCATCCGGGAGGAAGAACCTGTCCTTCTCTTTCATGTCAGACAGATTCAACCTCAAGTGTCTCTCTGTGGCCACCAAGGCTTCCATGGCCATTTTCTTGGTGGCTCTGAGAGACAGATCTGCAGCCCAGCGGAGTTCTCCTCTGAGCCGTCCTCGCTATCCATGTCCTTTAACAGGTCAGCATGGTATGCCTGCAACACTGCCATAGTGTGCAAGCAAACACCAGCCTGACCCGCCTCTGTGTAAGCCTAACCCATGAAAGCCGAAGTGGACCTTAAGGGCTTGGTGGGTAGAACCAGAACCTTCAGGGAAGATGCCACTACCGGGGACAGATATCTGGTCAGCGTATGTTCAACCCGCGGCATCATCCCATAGCCGTTGTCTTTCAGCACCAAAATGTTGGAGTAATTTGATACATTGGGGCTGAAAAAATAAGCTGAATACAGCCTTCCCCATGATCTAGACACTTGTAGTGATTTTCAGATGTTAGATAGCTTCACACGGGGCACCACTAAATGTAATGATTTCAAATCTAAGTAGCACCACCAGTGTAATGGCTTTGGCTTAAATATGAATATTGGTATTTAGAATTGGTCACACTATTGTACGGGCCACCAGCCAGGAATTACACCTTGACAGTAAAGAACAATAAATAAAGATTGTTGAATAAATAAGAATTACATAAATTGTAGTCTGACCAATCTGAAGGATTTTAGAGATATTGTTAACTTGCAGAGCCTCTTTACAGTATTATCAACACAAGGAAGACACAAGTGTAATAAAAGTGGTTTTATTAACAAAAGGATAGACAAGAGTAACAACTACTAAATGGGTACAATGAATGGATAAAGTGCAAAAGATTCATAGATGCAAGTGAATTAGCTGGATGTTACTATGGACATTATCTTATGGAAATATATATTTACATTTACATTTATGCATTTAGTAGATGCTTTTATCCAAAGCGACTTACAGTGCATTCAGGCTATACATTTTTTTTTTTTTTACCAGTATGATAAACTGTAGTTTCCTGGAATTAATAAGGTAAACCTTTTTCTAGATTCAACAAATAAATCAAGGGATTATTTGTTATTAACTGACATCAACTATATAAAATCTAATGCAAATTAGATAATCATGAACTGACAATACACACTAATGCCAACGGTCTCTGGAAAGAGGTTTGGAAAGAGTGATATTTACGTTCCAAGTCTGGGCCACGACGTCTTCCACCTGTTGGCCATGCTGCAGTGGGAAGAAAGGATTCGGATCAGTTTCACAGTCTTGAACACAAAGCACTAGTGAACAATGTAACCCTGAGCACTGAGAAGCTCCTTGGTCTGGAAAAACGCAAACAGATGTGGCCTATGGATTCTAAAGAAGCAGCACAGGATACAAAAAATATCTTTTAGGGGCTTTATTCTGACGGCTGTCTCTCAGAAGGGCAGCGATCGATCGGAGTAAATACAGATAAAAAATTAATAAAATAAAGTAAATCTTATGTCTCTGTTGTGCTTATTTGACAAAACAAAAGATTAAGCACTGATTTCAAAATCTGATAAATTCAGTACAGTGTAACGGTCTAAATGTTACCTGGTTTATATTATTGTAATTTCCACTGGCTAGTGCCTAAAAAGAGGTATCTGGTTCGTGTAATACCACTAGGAGCAGCTTGAGGGCACTAGTGCACAGTGGTTAGCGGATATAAGCCTGGTCACCAACGAGCAAGTCAGTTTGTTTGGTAGAGGGAAACCACATGGTTGAACAAACTCTACCTGCCTACTCATTTTAAGTCCTGGTTTGAGAACTAGTAGAGTTTATGCTCAAACGTGAGTATTGGCTGACTGTACTAATGACTTGGTGCATTTATAATGAATAATGACTGATGTTAGTTGTTTGCTTTCTTTTGTAGAAAGGACTTTTCATCTTATATATCACTATTGGACCATACTACTCTTGTTGTTTTACTGTGTTTGTTATATGAGCACCGTTTGGATTCACTGCACATCTCCAGGAAGCGAGAGGTGTGGATCTGGGTATTGCGTGGCCTTAATCAACGCGGAGTTAAGGCCAGCGAGTCACCAAACACCATTGACTATTTTCACCTCTCACTCATTTGGATTATATCATTGCATCGCTCTCAAAAAACCTAGTGAAAAGACTTCAGGACTGAGTGAGACTGCATTACATGCAGACCTCGGTTCATTGAAAGGGTTTGAGTGCACACCCGCATTTGCTCTTTTTGTTCTCCTAGGGGTTGGTACAGGCTACTTCAGCACGGGTTCTTCCACTCTGAGATCAGCACTGGAGTCAAGCATAAATTGCTCGGGTACAGTATCCCGCGGTTCAGTATCCTCTAGAATCAATTTGGGCTGATCTGCAAGCCCTTCACCTTTTGCCAAAGAGCTTCCAATCTCATTTGTCTCTTGCAGACTAGGGTAAGTGACTTCTTCTAGCACAACAAAATCAGGATCAGACTGAACTTCAACTTGCTTGGACTCTGCTTTTCTCTCTTGTTGTGTTTTAGGAAGATGGTTCTCAGTGGATTCTGGCTCAGGAGCAGAAGTGACACAGGGTCGCAAGTCAGCTCGATGAAGTCCCTTGATAGGACCACCCTCAAGGGGCTCAACGGTATATGTAGTACTTTGCACATCTAGAACTTTGTATACCGTAGGACCCCATGAATCCTGTAACTTGTTCCTACCCAAAGGTCGGTGACGCAGATACACTTGTTGACCAACATTGATAATGGGACAATAGACCTTGTCATTCAAAGGGGCCAACCTCTCAGCAGCCTTGTGTTTAGCATATTTTCTTGCCTGTTCGTGAGCCTCTCTCAATCTCTCCTGATGAACCACTAACCAGTCTTGCTTTCTGTCTACAGGTTGCTCATGACCCAGCAGGGCATCAACTGGAAGGTGTGGATGGACTCCAAACAGTAAGAAGTATGGTGAGTATCCAGTGGTTGCATTTGGCATGACATTGTAGGCATAAACCAACTCCACTAGGTGTTCCGGCCACCGCCTCTTCTTTTCAGGGGGAAGTGTGCGCAGCAGATCATGGAGCGTTCGATTAAAGCGCTCACACTGAGCATTACCCTGAGGCCGGTAGGGTTTTCTTCACCCCATACATTTTGCACAGCTCAGGAACAACTTCATTCTCAAAATGTATTCCCTGATCAGAATGCAATCTTTCAGGTACGCCGTATTTCATGAACCATTCCCTTAACAAGATTTTGGCGGTAGTGTCAGCTCTCTGATCCCTGGTTGGAAATGCCTGTGTGAATTTGGTAAAAACATCTGTCACGATGAATACATTTTCACGGTCATCAGATGATGGCTCAAGCACGGTAAAGTCAACTGCCACTACTTCTAGGGGTCTTGATGCAAGAAACGGCTTCATAGGGGCAAGTATCCTTGGCTGTGGCATCTTTAAGATGCACCTCTGACACTTTTTGATCCATTGGTCTACATCATTATACATGCCGACCCAAAAACAACGTTTCCTCAACAGGCCGATTGTGCGCTCAATCCCTTGATGTCCCATATTTTCATGCACACTTTCAAGGACAGGTTCTTTTAGACATGCGGGTAAGAGCAGCTGTTGACACTCACCATGATGCTGATCGTTCATAACACGATAAAGCAAACCATCCTGTTCACGGATACTTTTCCATTGCTTTATCAGCGATAATGTAAACTTTGATAAGATCTTTCACAATGGGAAGGCTTTCTCCTCTCTTTCAAGAAGGGTCTGAAAGAACTGATGGTAGGATCGTTCTTCTGGAAATCTGCCAGTTCTGCGGTCGTGTAGCCTGGCAGGGTAGGTGTGCTTCCCTGATGGTCACTGTCTGCCTCTCCACCACATTCCAAGGCATGAATCTGTCGGACTCTGTAACACCTTTCGCTAGCAATTACTAAGTCAGGCTCCAGGACCGTCCCTTTACTGATGATGTTACAGATGGCAACACCGTCATCATACTTGTCCAGAATGGTAAGCTCCCCTGCTAGAGGCCGCCTAGAGAAGGCATCAGCAGCTATATTATGTCGGCCTGGGCGGTATTAACATCAAAGTCAAACACAGATAATTGAGCAACCCACCTTTGCTCAACTGCACCAAGTTTGGCTGTTTTAAGATGGCACAGAGGGTTGTTATTTGTGATAGCCACGAACTTAGAATCTAGCAGATAACCACGAAACTTTTCTGAGATTGCCCATTTGAGAGCCAGCAGCTCAAGTTTCATGCTGCTATAGTAACGGTCATTCCTTTCTGCTTTTCGAAGCCTCCTACTTGCAAATGCAATGAGCCTTTTTCAACCACCCTGCTGCTGATACAGTATTGCCCCTAGGCCTTCATGGCTTGCATCAGTCTCCAAGATAAATGGGAGACTAAAATCTGCATACTCTAATACAGGAGCACAGAGGTAAGTTTCTCTTTCAGTAGCTCAAATGCTGATTGGCACTCAGATTACCACAAAGCACAGAATTCCTTCTTCCTTTGGCCGAACTGGGTAATACACAGACTCACTAAATCATGAAGGGGCCCCGCAATTCTAGAAAAAACACTCTATGAACTTTCTGTAGTAACTACAGAATCCTAAGAATGAGCGCAGTTCCTTTACTGTGTTGGGGACCTTCCATTCCTTTACCGCCTCAACTTTCCCTGGATCTGTAGCAATTCCTTGAGCTGAGACTTCATGACCCAAGAAGATTACTTCCTGCTGCAGGAAGTGGAATTTCTCAGGCTTGACTTTGAGACCTGTTTCCTTTAGCCTCTTAAAGACTATTTCCAACCTCTGCAAGTGCTCTGGGAAAGTGGGTGCATACACCAGTATGTCATAAAGATACACTAGCATGATTTGAAAAATTAGATCGCCCATTGTAGTCTGCATAAGATGTTGAAACGTTGATGGCCCATTACAAACCCCAAAAGGCATTCAGCAGTACTCAAAAATCCCAAAAGGAGTTGTAAAGGCCGTCTTATGTCTGTCACGCTCATGAACGGCAACCTGATGATATCCACTCGCCAGGTCAATTGAAGAGAAGAATGTTGCTCCCTGAAGTGTCAAAACTCTCATCGATCCTAGGTAACGGGAATGCATCTCGTTGTGTCTTGGAGTTTAGCTGTCTATAATCAACGCATAGCCTAAGGCTACCATCTGTTTTCCTCACTAGTACAATAGGTGAAGCATATGCACTAGTGCTTTCTCGGATCACTCCTTTCTTGAGAAGCTTACTGATATGCTCTCTAACTTCCTTGTACTGAGTGGGTGGGATACGCCTGTAAGGCTGTGTCACTGGGACATCATCAGTTACATGGATCTCATGTTGCACCTTATCGGTGAAACCAAGGTCTTCATCCTCGAAAGCGAACACATCAGAAAACTGCATTAACAGCTCACTCAGCTCTGCTTGCTGCTCAAGGGTACCACCGATATGGAGCTTGCTGAGGAACTCTTTCGAGCTGTTCTCCAATACCTGATCGCTTTTGGTGTTAACAGTGATTTCCTCAATATCAGCCGAAATACGCTGGAACTTAACCTCACAGGTCTCATTTAATTTCAAACTCTCAACGTGAGTTACAGTCCCAAGCCTGGTGCGGGCCCGCAACCAGATGTCCTCTGGGGAAAGATTCACCACCTGCACGGGAAACAACGGTTTCCCCGCGGCTACCAGACAGGGAACAACAATCAATCCACCTGGTAACGGTACATTCAAGGGCTCTAGCAGGTAGTCAGATGAGCCATCACGTGACATATGTTTTGTGCTTTTAGCCATCACCGTCGCAACTGAGGAAGCAGGTATGTGTACCATGTCTTTTCCAGCTAAACGAACAGCTGTCCTCTTCTCTTGGCTACTGGCATGGTGCAGTTGTTGAAATGCCTCCCTCCAATTAGACTGCAATTTCCCACCAAGGGTGGTGTCAAACTCTGCATGTACTAGTTGTCTGCATCTGCTGATAATGTTCATGCCAATTAGCACTGGTACAAGAGGGGAGTTCAGTGTGTCTCTGACTACGAGGAAACCGCATTCAGGAAGGGCAACACCCATGGTGTCAACTTTCAACTCAAGGTAACCGAGATAAGGTATGTCCAAACCATTGGCAGCAGTTATCTTCAGCCAGCCGGCTGTTGAGAGCATATCTTCATCCTCACCAAACAGGTGTTCCCTGAAGAACCTCTCAGAAATAGTGCTGACTTGGCTCCCTGTATCCAGCAGACAAGCGGCACTCACCCCATTTATTTTGAGATTAGCAACAGGACATTTTCCCACAGCACGTTCAAGTAGTCTATCACGACTAGTATCCACACTAGTTGAGCCAATCGACTGCCCTCGCATTGCCTGGCTCACAGCAACCGAGGGTGGGCATTTCCCTGAGGTCCAGAGCCAGTAGCTTGCTCGGTAGCAGCCGGTTTGTTTCTTCTCACGCACCTCTTAGCAATGTGTCCCACACCATTACACCGGAAACAAATTGGCTGCCCATCATCTGTAAACCTTGGCTGTACCTTGGGGTTGCGTTGGGTTACAGGCTCTGACTTGATGCACTGTGTGGTGAGTTTCTCCACAGCTTGAGTTAGCTCTCCTATAGCCCTTCCTTGTTCTGCTACGATTTTCAAAACTTCTTCAAGACTAACTGTTTTTGTTTCAGGTGCAACAGCAGCACACTGGGCTTCAACGGCCTCAGACACAACACTTCGATTGCTGATCACTTTTGGGACACGAGGCTTGTGATCTTCTAAAGACCACATGAGAGCTTCATCTCGCACTTCAATAAGTGTTGACTCTGGCTTGTCTCTAACCAGCTTCCGAAGGTCTCTCCTAAGGCTAGCGTCTCTAATGCCCTCAATGAATTGGTCTCGAATGGCCATACTCTCATTTGCCATTGCATTTGGTGATTGTTTCTGGATGGAATTCAGAATCTGGGACAGTGCATGCGAGTAGGCACGAATATCCTCCCCTTCTATTTGTTTACGGCTATAGAAGGTTTGCAATAACTGAGATACACTGCGCTTTTCTCTGAAAGCTGCTCTCAGATATTCAAAAATGTCACATGGGTGTTTTGGATCATTCCCCATTCGCATTCTGACCTCCTCTAAAGCTGCCCCCTTTAGAAGTGAGAGGACAAAGTCTAACTGGTCCTCCGTAGTCTGACTTCTAGCATGTATCACCCTCTCTACCTCTTCAATAAACTCGTCAACATATCTCCCATCTTTGTTAAAATCACCACTGAACGGTTGTATGTGACGTGTCCTTACCTCCTTAATTTTCCCTGAATCCGTAGCAATTCCTTGAGCTGAGACTTGATGACCTAAGAAGATTACTTCTTGCTGCAGGAAATGACACTTCTCAGGCTTGACTTTGAGACCTGTTTCCTTTAGCCTCTTAAAGACTATTTCCAACCTCTGCAAGTGCTCTGGGAAAGTGGGTGCGTACACCAGTATGTCATCAAGATACACTAGCATGATTTGAAAAATTAGATCACCCATTGTAGTCTGCATAAGACGTTGAAACGTTGATGGCCCATTACAAACCCCAAAAGGCATTCGGCAGTACTCAAAAATCCCAAAAGGAGTTGTAAAGGCCGTCTTATGTCTGTCACGCTCATGAACGGCAACCTGATGATATCCACTCGCCAGGTCAATTGAAGAGAAGAATGTTGCTCCCTGAAGTGTCAAAACTCTCATCGATCCTAGGTAACGGGAATGCATCTCGTTGTGTCTTGGAGTTTAGCTGTCTATAATCAACGCATAGCCTAAGGCTACCATCTGTTTTCCTCACTAGTACAATAGGTGAAGCATATGCGCTAGTGCTTTCTCGGATCACTCCTTTCTTGAGAAGCTTACTGATATGCTCTCTAACTTCCTTGTACTGAGTGGGTGGGATACGCCTGTAAGGCTGTGTCACTGGGACATCATCAGTTACATAGATCTCATGTGGCACCTTATCAGTGAAACCAAGGTCTTCATCCTCGAAAGCGAACACATCAGAAAATTGCATTAACAACTCACTCAGCTCTGCTTGCTGCTCAAGGGTACCACCGATATGGAGCTTGCTGAGGAATTATTTCGAACTGTTCTCCAATACCTGATCGCTTTTGGTGTTAACAGTGATTTCCTCAATATCAGCTGAAATAGGCTGGAACTTAACCTCACATGTCTCATTTAATTTCAACCTCTCAACGTGAGTTACAGTCCCAAGCCTGGTTCGGGCCAGCAACCAGATGTCCTCTGGGGAAAGATTCACCATCTGCACGGGAAACAACGGTTTCCCTGCAGCTACCAGACAGGGAACAACAATCAATCCACCTGGTAACGGTACATTCAGGGGCTCTAGCAGGTAGTCAGATGAGCCATCACGTGACATATGTTTTGTGCTTTTAGCCATCACCGTCGCAACTGAGGAAGCAGGTATGTGTACCATGTCTTTTACAGCTAAACGAACGGCTGTCCTCTTCTCTTGGCTACTGGCATGGTGCAGTTGTTGAAATGCCTCACTCCAATTAGACTGCAATTTCCCTCCAAGGGTGGTGTCAAACTCTGCATGTACTATTTGTCTGCATCTGTTGATAATGTTCATGCCAATTAGTGCTGGTACAAGAGGGGAGTTCAGTGTGTCTCTGACTATGAGGAAACCGCATTCAGGAAGGGCAACACCCATGGTTTCAACATTCAACTCAAGGTAACCGAGATAAGGTATGTCCAAACCATTGGCAGCAGTTATCTTCAGCCAGCCAGCTGTTGAGAGCATATCTTCATCCTCACCAAACGGGTGTTCCCTGAAGAAACTCTCAGAAATAGTGATGACTTGGCTCCCTGTATCCAGCAGACAAGCGGCACTCACCCCATTTATTTTGAGATTAGCAACAGGACATTTTCCCACAGCACGTTCAAGTAGTCTATCACGACTAGTATCCACACTAGTTGAACCAGTCGACTGCCCTCGCATTGCCTGGCTCACAGCAACCGAGGGTGGGTGTTTCCCTGGGGTCCAGAGCTAGTAGCTTGCTCGGTAGCAGCCTGTTTGTTTGTTTCTTCTCACGCACCTCTTAGCAATGTGTCCCACACCATTACACCGAAAACAAATTGGCTGCCCATCATCTGTAAACCTTGGCTGCACCTTGGGGGTTGCGTTGGGTTACAGGCTCTGACTTAATGCACTGTGTGGTGAGTTTCTTTACAGCTTGGGTTTACAGCTCCTATAGCCCTTCCTTGTTCTGCTACGGTTTTCAAAACTTCTTCAAGACTAACTGTTTTTGTTTCAGGTGCAACAGCAGCACACTGGGCTTCAGTCTCAGACACAACACTTCGATTGCTGATTGCTTTTGGGACACGAGGCTTGTGATCTTCTAAAGACCACATGAGAGCTTCATCTCGCACTTCAATAAGTGTTGACTCTGGCTTGTCTCTAACCAGCTTCCGAAGGTCTCTCCTAAGGCTAGCGTCTCTAATGCCCTCAATGAATTGGTCTCGAATGGCCATACTCTCATTTGCCATTGCATTTGGTGATTGTTTCTGGATGGAATTCAGAATCTGGGACAGTACATGTGAGTAGGCACGAATATCCTCCCCTTCTATTTGTTTAAGGCTACAGAAGGTTTGCAATAACTGAGATACACTGTGCTTTTCTCTGAAAGCTGCTCTTAGATATTCAAAAATGTCACATGGGTGTTTTGGATCATTGCCCATTCGCATTCTGACCTCCTCTAAAGCTGCCCCCTTTAGAAGTGAGAGGACAAAGTCTAACTGGTCCTCTGTAGACTGACTTCTAGCAGGTATCACCCTCTCTACTTCTTCAATAAACTCGTCAACATCTCTCCCATCTTTGTTAAAATCACCACTGAACGGTTGTATGTGACGTTCTCTTGGTACATAAATATATGACCTGGTCGGCTCTCTGCTCAAGTTAGCAATTGCTGCCATAGTCTTCTCATGCTTTCTATTAAGTTCTTGAATTTGTTTGTGCATGTCATGCCTATTACTACTTGCACCATGTTCATCCCCATACTAATCACCCTGTAAAACTGGAGCCTCATCTGATTGTGACATTTTATAACATTTTCTTCAGTTTAACAAAATGAAAACAGTTGTTTTGGTCAAAAATAGTCTCTGAATCAGTTCAAAATTGTTTTAAAGTCAAAGGATATGTTCTCAACTGTTCATAGGATACTTCCGTCCTCCCTTTTAGACAGTCTCTTGATAGGCGTCTCCTCAGAAAGCACGCTGCAGACCTCAGTGGATAAGGCACTCTTCTTCCTTTCACCTAGCAGTATCGTCACCTCACCAGGTCACCTCCAGCTGGCCGACGTCTGTTCGCTGGACAACTGCACCCAGGAAGTTAGCCTCCACTCCGTTTTCCACTGGCACCTATCTTCACCTCTACCGTATTTCAAAATGAATAAAAAAATAACCTATAGGCTTCCAAAAGTCAGATACCCCACTCCTGGTACCAAAATGTGGCCTATGGATTCTAAAGAAGCAGCACAGGATACAAAAATATATTTTAGGGGCTTTATTCTGACGGCTGTCTCTCAGAAGGACAGCGATCGATGGGAGTAAATGTAGATAAAAAATGAATAAAATAAAGTAAATCTTGTCTCTGTTGTGCTTATTTGACAAAACGAGATTAAGCACTGATTTCAAAATCTGATAAATTCAGTACAGGAAGAATCACAACCTTCAAAAAAGTTCAGATATCGGAAAATTCAGTCTTTCTGAATTGCACTAGAATTAAATGGAGTAAAATATAATAAAATAAAATACGGTAGAGGCTAATATTTGAATAAAAGGAAAACAGTACATTAGCCTACTTTTAAACCCCACAGTTTTCATGAAAATACATGTTGAGTACAAAAACAATCTTTTAATACATTCTAATCATTTTATCAAGGTATGAAATGTTCTAAGAACACTCATAACTGTTTTTTTAACATGCATATTCCAATGTAACAGATTCAACTACAACCAGGCAAATGCACTGGGCTTTAAAAAATAATTAAACTTCATTAACATTCATTGTACATACCCAGTCCTTGCACGTGTCCCAAAACGTGATCAAACCCGATCCACCTCACACATGCAATCCATAAACATCCTTAAAAACGATACGTGAAACATTTATTATTAACATACTATGCTCACATACACAGGTTATGCAATTCGTTCACAACTTCTGTAAGAATGTACATTTACCTCGCCAAATTCAGAATAATGGCACCAAACCCAGAGCACTAGTTTGCGTTCGCTGCTCTGCTCATACTGAAATCCATGCACATGTATTACATGCTGGAGCGCCGTAAAGCAAGTGTTGCAAAAACAGTATCTTAAAGGACCCATACCCAATTTATGCTCAACGTTAAGTTTTGTTAATTTTCTCCACTTGGCCACACAGAGTTTCTGAAGTCTGTACAGAAGATCCGGACTACCTGGCACATACAGGAGAAGGATCACTGACGAGATGATTCTGAAGTTGTGGCAGAAGAACTTAGCAGTTTGGAACTCGCAAACAGAGGATCACTAAAGAGAAGGTTCTGAAGTTGTTGCAGAAGATCCTGGCAACCTGGAACATGCAGGAGAAGGATCGCTGAAAAGAAGGTTCTGAAGTTGTTGCAGAAGATGAGGGGCACTAAGCTTGTGGTCGCTGCTGCTGTGGCAGTTTCCGAAATTCCCCAAATTCACTCATTGCAGAATTTCCTTATTTCTCAAGAGTACAACAACAGCAGCTTAGCACATCTTGGCTAACCACATTTTTCTTAGCACACAGTAGAGCAACAACAGCTTAGTACACTTCTTTGTGTTGAAGATAACCTTTTAATCTTTCCTAAGAAGGAGGGATTTGCAAGTTGGCACCTTTCAGTTCCAGCGTTTTGATTGACCAATGCTGTCGGAGGTGGCCATGGTATGGCCCCTCTGATATGAGCAGTGTTGGGGAGTAACTAGTTACATGTAACAGTGTTACGTAATTTAATTACAAAATAAATGTAACTGTAATCAGTTACAGTAATTATTTGCAACTGTTAAAATGATTAACAGTTGCAAATAAACATTCATTAGAAATTTAGAAAAGTAATCAAAAAGTAATCAAAAGTAATCAGTTACATTACTTTAATAAAGTAATTGAAAAAAGTTACACTACTATTACATTTTAAATGGGGTAACTTGTAATCTGTAACCTATTACATTTCCAAAGTAACCTTCCCAACACTGGATATGAGGTCTATTTGCATAGCTTAAAGTCCAAGTTTAGAACGATGTCTTTAAGGTTTTTCCTATGCATAATTCATTTTCCAAACCAATTCCAGATTAACCTACACATTGTGCTGAAAATATGAAGACCAAACAACAATGGGTAATGCTGAACACTGACCCATGCAGCATTCATATATTACATACCTTAATAGGTAAGGTTGCATTAATTGTTGTATCACACGCAGCACTTATTAAGTATATACAGTTCTATAAATGGATTTGAAAAATGTTTAATCAATTTTGTGTCCATTTTGTGTGAACGCATGTGAAGATTTTTCCTTCCCCTGTGGCTTCAGCCACAAGGCAAAACCAGTTTAGTCAGTCTGAGTGGTCGATCACACTTAGGTCTCAAAAAGGAGGGACTGTGATCAGCGAAAGAGCACATGGCGATTGGATCAGTCTTTGATCAATGGAACTGCCTTCCACAAATGATAAACTTGAGGGAGAACAAAGCACTTCCTGAACGGGGAACTGTAGGCTAATGTTACCCCCCCCCCCCCTCCCCCTCCCCTCCACAAAGTCTGATCAAATCAAAATTAAGCTTTCCAGTCATCATCTGCTGTCCACTACACACCTCAACGTGAAGATCAGGGAAGAAGGGAAGGCTCCAGCGTGGAGGAGGTGACACGGAGCGCAGGAAACGCTCATCAATTTTTCTTTTAGGACGAACTTCCTGCTGCGCAGCTGGCCTCCAGCAGCTCCTCATACTGAACAGACTGACTCACTCTGTTCCATGCTCACCACATCAACCTCCTCAGAGGAAGAGAGGCAAAGCATAGTGCTCTCCGTACAGGGGCAATAAACCACAGTGCAGGCTTCCGAACCCAGAGAGGGAGCAGTGGATCTATCAGGTGAAGGCAGAGAAAAGGCCATGCCCGTCTCCAACCCCTCTGCCAGATCCATTTGTGATCCCTACGATTTCAATTGCCGCTGTGCCTCAGCATCAGTGGGACCGGAACTACGAGGAGCGCGAGTCTGATCAATTTCCTCAAAAAGTGCCAGACGGGAGCAGAGCATTCTCAGTAGGGTAGTTTGCAAAACTGAAAAAACAAACAAAAAAAAAAACTGTAGTTTGAAACTGAAAAGATGTCCATTTTCCATTTATACTGTATACTGATGCAATGGAGAGCAACACTGTACATGCTTTAAACTTGTGTATATGAAAAGCTCTTTGATAACAGTACAAACACGAAACAAACTTATTTATCATTAAAGTTAAATGTTTATTGATTTGTTACTTGTCAGTTTAGTTTTTTCTTTTTTCTTTTTCCTTTTCTTTTTCTATGCACTCTCCTTAAACCTGCAGGGTTATGTTTAAAGCCCAACCCATGATTCCCTGCTATATTAGATAAATAAAATGTAATTTTCTTGTGCAAATATGTGTGAAATTAAATACACAAAAAGAGGCGCTTTTACAGTCGCTGGATTTATTCTGGCCATATTTACTTATTTTAAAGTATGTTCAGCTAGCAAGAAATAGTATAGTGTCAATGTGTTTAAGACGCTACATGTCTGAACAACTGTGGAGTTTTGATTATACAGTCCATTTTGGTAAGGATGGGCTTACTTGTCAACCAAAGAGAGCTGGATCAGGATCCAAAACATTTAAGACATTTAAACAGGAACACAAATAGAAAGTGTGTTTGCATTTTGAGATCAGATTGCAACTCAAACTTCACCAGTGCAGACTGACGGTGGCTGTGCAACAGGCTGACATGTAGCATTTGGGTATGATGGATGCTGTAATATTGTTAACTCTAATATTGAAAATTCAGATCTCAGATAGTGAGAAGACTTCCAGTTTTGATCATTGCAGATTATTAAGTTACTGAAATGGAGTCCATCATTTTCAATGAACTTATCTCCATCTCATTGTTTTTTTGTTCCTTCCTTCAGGTACAGAATGACCAAATTTTGCTACATTACAAAGCAGTACCATTAATGGTAATGGGGAAAGAATCAACTAACTAACTAACTAAATAAATAAATAAAAAAAATAGATGAGTGAAAATTACAGCTGAAAACACATTTAAAGTTTTAAGAGGCTGCTCTGACCTCCCTGGTATTTCTAAAATCCTGATTCTCTAAACCTTCGTATGGTCAGTAAAATTCTAAAGCAATAATAACACTGTTCAGCACAGTAAATGTCAGGTAAGCTGACTGTGTTTATTCTTTGGTACAAAAGGAATTTCTCAAACATCATAGTACATTAAAATTTAAAGCATTTAATAGTTCTGCAAAACAATCTCAAGATCTTAAATTGCTGCCACAAAAGTTAGGGTTAGCATAATGGTTAGTGTTAGCAGTAGAGTCACTGCTGGACTCCAAATAAACAGTGTATGAATATCACATATGAACCTTACAATAACATATTCATTTTAAAAGTGAATGAATCAAAAGATCACTTTATCTTTGTTACCATGTTCATTTAGATAAGTATGGCTTAATTTCTAAGGAAAATCCTTAGAAACAATACATTTATTTTTTGAGACCGTCTTTGTACCTGTGACAAAATAAAAGGATTGTGACTTGAGAAAAGGCCTTGAACGGTTTGTGACAAAACACTTGAGCCCTGACTTGGACTTTGCATTAGACATGTGAAGACACCATCTAGCCACCCAGAGCCGCACTCTATCTCTGCTGTCTCTATGAAGAACATTTTAAAGATGCAAATAATAATGCAAGCAGACCGAACTATTATTAGTGCAACGACTCCACAGGCA